GAATCGGTTTTGTGGAGATTTCAGTAATTTCAATGGTTCCAATCATGAGTCAAATGAAGTTAGACCACCATAGAGAACCTGGAAGCACTGGACGGCCGTTTGTCCTCGTCTCCCGCGAGATTCGAACCCAGGACCTATCAGTCTCGCGCGCGAGCGTTTAACCATTAGATCACTGATCATTGTTATGTCATTCTAGTCACATAGTAACTGACATCATTTAAAAGTATTGGATAATCGTTTTTATCCTACAATAGGACCACTTATCTATATATTATTAATAATTATAATGAGTTATAAGAAAACTCCAGTTCATTATAGTTAAAATTAAGTGTTTACTTTCTTTAAAGCTTGAGATTGTTTATCTTTTTTCCCCTTCTCAACTATTTACATCATAATCATTGACTGGTATTATATACCTTTCATTCTATGGGGCAAAGATCAATGCGTCAAGGTCATGTTTTTTTTATATGGATCAAAACGGAAGTGTTAGTCTCTATTTATGCATCATATCTATCTATCTATCTATCTATCTATATCTATCTATCTATCTATCTATCTATCTATCTATCTATCGACAGGGATGTTTAAACAATTTTATTTTATTTTAGAAAGAGGGAAATAATTATTGATTGGTATAACCTGTTCCTTATTTGTTTTATAGATTACTATATAAGTTAAAACTAATACTCATAGTAGGCAACTTATATAATCGCCACGGTATAATATATCGTTCATGTTATTGTGAGGAAGGAATACGGGTGAACTCGAGGAAGTTGTAAGAGTCTCAGAACGAACCAAAGATATTCCATCCAATCACATTTTGGAAGAATATTCTAGAATTCCTACGTGTAGCTTCCCGATTGAACAATGCTGACAACCCCCTGTATACGGATCGGAGGACTGTAATGATGATTTCGTTCTTCCCCAAAACTATAGATACCTGACTATTTTGTACTATAATGGACACTGTCTGGAATAATATTCCTTTCATTAGTCTTCTGTCTTCTCATTTAGACTTGGAAGGGTTCTAGTGTTCTAGTGCTCAAGTTATACGCGGTATACCAAGAAAAAACCTATCTACATATAACAGTTATCTAATCGGTACAATAATTTGAAGTGGATGATTATTAATTATTTCGTGACTTCCATTTTTCTTTTAACCTTGATTATTATTTTTTCAATAGTTGAGGTCATGAGTCAATTGAAACTAGGCTGCTATGGAAAACCTGGAAGTACTGGACGGCCGTTTAGTCCTATTGCGGGACTCCTCAACAGCGCGCATCCATGATCAGGCCTCACGAGATCCCATAGTAGGATGAAACAGCAGTCCAGTACTTCCAGGTTTCCCATGGTATCTGATTGAGCATATGGCTGTCAAATCCACCCACGAAATAATGTTGGGTCTTAATATCCCCAGTTAAGAATGATGTGGCTTCATTTAAAGCATATCTCACATAGACTAGAGTAAACATTAGAAGTGACTTCGTGCTAAGGATAAAAAACAGTTGATATGAACTCATCCGAATCGTAATCAACTCGAGCTTGTAGTGACTCACATTTATCACGAGAACACGACTGGTTTAATAAAAACAATCATTATTATAACCAACTGTATCAGTGTTTATTTTAATGTGCTTTTGTTTGACTGTGCTAATGACAGCTATATTGTGCTTCCATTCTTATACACACACTTTTGATTGTGACTTCGCGCGAATTCGGTTACGTTCTGTAACCAAGCTTGTATCCTGGCACGATCTCGGTATCCTTTCGATGCCACGAGATCGCCAGCGAATATATCTCGATTTGGTCCATTAACTGTCTTCTGATATCTGGCTTCTCGGAGATTTTATGGATTTATTTGGTTACGTTCAACCTCCGCCTTCTGATTTACTTGGAACGTGTTCATAGTCAATCCCAACTCAACACAACGCTACAAGCTCACTGAGTACTCCTGCTTCGCACTGAACAAGTTTCCCACAAGAAAGAAATGCATTATGAGGACAAATAATAATTGATATGACATCAAGATTTGGTTCTTCTGAAATATTTTCCTCAATTTATTAAGAATGTCATTGCAGAGTAAAGGATCATTAGAAAAATCAGCATCCATCAAAACTACATCAGGTTTTCGATCACGACTGAGTTTATTCAACATATTTTCCTCACATTTTTAAGGACTTTCATCAGGAATATGTGAGTCATTAGGAAAAACCATATCTGGTACAATAACATGAGAAATCTGACAAATTGATTGATTAGAAACTGTTGTCTCTCAAGGATACTGAGTTTCATTTAATTCTAGTCTGCTATGTGACTCTGTACCGCTTTTCGAATTTGTAGATAAAGATAAATGGTCATTAGAAACACCCAACCTATTAGGATCAGAATTACAAGTCTTAGCATTAGTTGCGGCGGAATGAAACTTAGTATGACAAATGACTGAATGTGTCCAATCTTACCACATTTTAAGCATTTAGAATCATGAAATACACATGAATTAAATAAGTAAAACCTGCCGCGGGACAAACATTCATCAAACTTGTGCTCATCCCCGTGAACTGCATCGCAACTCCTCAACGAATCATCTGCATAACCTTGAGTACACACTGGATTGTGATGACGTAGTAACGTAGTGGAATTTTTGATGACCTGATGAATCATTTTACGAAATCTTCCTTCTTTACCACATTCGAAATTTGTATACTTAACATAGTCTAGCAGTAGATCCTTGAGAGTTGTATATGAAAGCGAAATAGGCTTTTCTGGTAAGCCATAGTTTTTAATAAGCTGCAAGCTTCCTTTTCGATCAATGTAAGGATATATGCCACATTAATAACATCCTCATCATCTTCCTTGGCCATAGCTCAGAGTTCGAACCTTTCAAATTAATCTTCAAAAGGATCAAAATCTGAATGTATGTTTACCCGTTCCATCATAGGCTCTATCGCGACGCCAATATGATAATTAGGAGTATTTGAATTATAGAATTCGAAGTCCAGCATTCAACAAGTACAAAGGAATAATCAGTTCATTCAAACACTTCATTGTAATACACATGGCCGAATAACACTGCAAAAGTACATGGAATCTATAGATTACCGAAAAATACTGGGTGAATGATATTTGGTTTTTAATAGAGGTATGTCAGCTTTAAATGCTTAACATATAGCAATAGTTCTATATGGATATTTTACTTCTTCCATAACATTCAAGCATCTCAAAATTGAATCTTTGGTTAGACCACCGTCAGAATTATCAGTGCACGAAAATATTTGAACGTCATTTTCACTAACAAGTAAAAGAACACAAGAAAGACCTTTCTAATATTTTGTTGATGAAATTTCAATAGTACCATTGTTCAGTAGCTTAGGGCTCATGATAGAGGTGACTGAAAAATTTCTAATCCTTGGGTGAGCATCACTGCATTAACTGCTTCTAGAAATAATGTGTTAAACACCTCTAGTGCCAACAACAAATGAATCAAACTAGGCTTAGCTTGCAGAATCCAAACTAAGGTTTGGACCGAAGAATAACTATCTACGCAGTTTAGATACGCGCAAAATATACAACCAAAGGAATCATAGGAACAAATTACAGGTGTATACATGGAGGGATGTTCACACATCAAGCCTTCAATGTGGACCTTACGTGGGTGTCTGCCATATTGTGCGCCAAGATTTAATGTTGTAAGTGAAAGCGACTGGATAATGTTATTTAAAATAATCAGATTTTGGCCCACATTGTGTATATCTTCATTCTCTCAGCATATGTGACGGCATATTTAACGAAACTGACAAGAAAGGAGGAATCTAGTCCTTCACATGAAGTTCATGGGGACTTTCGGATAGATTACAAATTCTTGAATTGTCTTGACGAATCACTCAGAATTAACTCAAGAATTGTACGTGTTTTCAGATTCAGTCCGCGAAGCGAAAGCTCTGGCAGAATCACTAGTGATGTCTTCACGGGTAGTACATAAAACTAGCCGTTTGGAAGGAACCAGTAGATATCTGAATACGTGGGCTACTTCAGTGTTAAATCATTTATTTCAGCAGCTAAACGGCCACGAAATTGGATATGTAGTTGGTCTACGGAAAGACATCTAAATACTTGAGTCTGTAGCTTCAAAATAAATAATATGGTTCTCTGATTTGAAACGTGCGCTGAAAAATGGGAAAGAATATTCAGCAATCCTTTAGGGGTGTCTTGAAATAAGCCATGTAGTACGACTCAGAATGTACAAAAGTGCGTTTCATCGATATGTCGTAGAGTTTACTGATCATGATTAAACACCGTATGCAGTCATATTTATTTTTCCACCGAATGTAATCAGTAAAAAATATTCGAATCTCATGGCTCTTTGAAATCTAAAATCACACCCCTACGTGTCAAACACAGAAATACATTTTTTCCAGCTTGATTGTCAGAGTTCTTATCTAGTGTTAGATAGTTTTATTCTGCTCTGGTTAGAGTATACCAACATGGTTTGCTTCCCTTTACCCGAAAAGAAAATAAGTACATTATAGTTCATCCACAGATGAAATACAAAATCACATCTTGATTTGGAGTTTGAGTGCTAAATGGAATCCCTGAAAACACTTGATGTATGTCCATTACACTAAATGAGTTTGGGCAGCGACCTTAACATGATCTGTGATATCACAAATACACATGGAAATCATCTGGTCACTTAACTAGGTTCGAACTCTTGGAGAGTGGGTAAACTCAGATTAGTAGCTCAAAGTGCCAACTTGGGTTGTCGGAACTCCCTATATCTGATGTCCTCTACATAAAATCCCTGGTGCTCTTTAAGTGAAGAGTTGATATTTCCCTAATGATTCAGGGTAGCATTTCATTCATATTTATCAAAACTCCTTTTTTTCCCTGTTAGAAGGTATCAGTGATCCGTTTTTATCAGTTGAAGAGATGATTCTTTTATTCTATCTGTATTTATTCAAAACCATTTGAAGCTCGTTTGATGTAGATCTCTTATATATATTCAAGACGTATTACGTTCATTGTGACTCACAAGAAAATTTTCTACAATATAAGGTTTGAATTTTGAAGAATTGATACGTACAGTGCATTTGTTTAGCCGGCACGAGTATAAATCACAAACATTTTGGGCGGGAAGTCAGTCGTCGTTAATATGATGGAGTCTCAGCGCAGGGGATTACGGGTTTTGAATACGTCCGAACATATAGAGCCAAAGAAAGTACGGATCATTCTATACATCATTGTGGTTTAGACACAGCTTTCAGTTGAGAAAAAGCCTGGAATAATACCTGCTAAACATTTTGTAAAGGAACCAATTGCCAATAAACCCGTTGTCAACAAAGTTGCTCCGTTTATTATTTTCCAAGACCCTATTGAAACTCATTGCCAGCATTGTGGTGCTTTGCGCTCTAAAAGCCAGAAAGATCAGCATCTTAATTCCTCGAAAGAGTATAAGGAAACTGCTACTCAAGTGGAAGTCATAGACCTTAATGCTTGGTTGTGTTCAGGTAACATTCTAATAAATATTCTTAAGTACCAGAGCATGCACCTGAAAAGTATTGGGAAACCGTCGCGGAACAAAGGCGAGTGGCTTTAAAGGAAACCTTAGATGAAAATTTGCAGGTAAGGTGGGATCATCAATGCTTATATTTATAGCTGTGTGAACTCGTTGAGAAGCTGAACTTTGAAATTGAAAGACTAAGTGCCATCGCTTCAAGTGGTGATCACATTGATTCGATGTACAACGTAAGTGGCTGATTGATTACTTAGTAAATTCATAATATATATGTGACTAAACATCGTTCAGACTGGTAAAGCTTTCGGTGTCTAATCAAATACTAAGCTGACAAAGTAGTTTTCAGATGCCTTTTTCCAGAGTGTCTCTTTGCACTTATTATGCATATCTTTGATGTCCCAGTCCCTTTTGATCCCCACTCAGCTTGGCGCGATTGATTTACAGTTATCAAGTCTTGTTTTTTAGTTGTACTAGGCACTCAATCAAATACGTCTTCAGATCTAGCACGTCGGTACATTGGTTCTAGTCGCCATAATCCATTTATACAGCTGGGTTGAATTTTCAGAACAAACCTCAGAGTAGTAGACGTAACGGTAATGACGGTAGTAAAAATTAGGGATCGGATCTAAGTTTCAAAAATATCAAGTATTGAAATCTAGGAAAAATTGAGCAATCTAAACAAATAAGATCTAAGGTAAGGCGATAATCTCGTCTTCGCCAACGTGGACAACTTGATGCTTTGTCATTCAGCTAACCGTTGGTTATAATAATCACCCGGAACCCATCCAGATACTCCGCACCTATTAACATGGCCTATTCCAGTAGTCAGCGTCTTCATAGGCTAGAGCTGTGTCTTGACTTGGTCACCCCTGGCTTCCTTCCATCCTTCACTAGCCATCATTGAGTGACGAGGTAATCGGTTGCTGTGGGTACGTGATACTTTTGCATACTATCTCAGTTGATAAGGTTTCGCTACTTCATCAACCGATTCGCTATACTTACCTAATACTTTGCGTCTAACTGGATGATTCTAAAGTATACGAATAATACCCTGAATACATGACCAATTACTACTAACCTAGGCGTACTATCTGTTTTTAAGGGCCATATTTTGTGGAGCAGGCTGGTACACTACAGACTTGTCCTTTGGTTGGCAGACATTGTTCTTGAGCCACGAGTGACTCAAGTTTCCAAAAGCTAGCCTAGCTTTCTAAATTCGTGCCAGAATCCCGTCAAATCCCAACACACATGTACTGATGAGACTTCCAAGGTAAATGGTCGATTATTCCGCGCTCTATCATTAGTGCAGGCGTTAATTTCGATTATTTAGCAAATGAGAAAAGCATTCAAAACCCTTATAAGTTTTGTATAGAAAAGCCAGAGCGTTACTATGGATTCTTGTCGCTGAATTTTAACGATTAACACTGTATAAGTGCTCTCATCCCAGTATTCTCGGAAACTGGGTTTGTGATGGTTTCATCAATCTAAAAGCATGATCATTAAGTTTAAGGCGTGAGTGTGTAAGGGGTGTCGGCCAGTCGTTTCAGGATATGATCAAACTCATACCCTGGAAACAACACTGATGCCTTAAGTCCGTCAGGAGTGTGTTACTCGTTCGGATGAGGTAAATGAGCTTAGTTCAGAATATTGGCTATTCATCGAAACCCTACTCTATCCATATCTATACTTGTTTAGGGCTGTATCCGAGCCACATAAATCGAAGGATTTATGTGGCTCATATCTATTTGGTTCCTCCTTGTACCAATGTTTATGTTTAAATAAAATAATCAACAAAATGTCGAATTTCCTAATTTATCGGTGAGCAAGTACATAAAGGTAGTAAAAATGCGTGTGATTGAACAGAGGTTGGAAACTTGTGTAAGAAAGTTAACAAACTTATGCTTTAAGTCTGCGGAAAACCCGACCGTCCGATTGTTTTACTTGGTGTCAGTATTTTATATGACCTGGATAATTTCTCGTCGCTGAACTTATTTTTTGGTTTACTTTTAGCAATTATTTGGAGGGCAAGAAGCACACAGTGATCTCTCCGCAAAGCCTCAGAAACCCAGCTGTGAACCTAACCCAGCACAATTGACGTGAATGCTTCATACCGGGCTTTATGAACTAAGTCTAAAGATTTGAACCTTAGATTTTGTGATTACTTTTGTATTTGTGTATGATTTCATGATGCTAATAGATATGTTATCAATGTCTTCCACTTAGTACTGATGCACTGTAATGGTTCCATGTGGAGTGTTCTCTGTTTTTTTCACCTCATAAGACATAATTATTGGAATGCTCAGGGAATTTGATCAAGTCTACTTTAGTTTAATATATCATTCATGGTGTATTGAGTTAGCATATATGTTCAGAATCAAACAGATTTATGTTGTCACTGTGAGCTACAGCCTAGATGAAATATCAGTTTGTGAACATATGTTTGGGGTCTTATGTTACGGAAAAATTGAGAACCTCTCTATTCTCTTCACTTATCAAATAATAAGATACTCGGTTTCAGCCAATAAGTCATAAATCCCTAACTCGCTCCGTCAACTTCATTTTGGAACACGCTTCATTAGCCGTCACACAAACTGTGTTCCTACACTGAGTGCATAAAGTCCGTTGTTGGTGAGTTACCTTAACTAACTCTTCGTGTGGAGTTACCGTACCTTAGAATTTACTGGTGGCTCAAGTAACCATCTATTTATGTGGCAATGCCAACCTTACATATGAGCCAATATTTAGTTGGAATAAAAGTCAGTTCATAGGTGGGTTCCAATGCTTAAAGGATTGTAATTATTATACTAAGAGTCATTAGTGACAAGTCTTTCATTCATTTCGTATGGTTGGTTGTAAAAAAAGTGTATCCAGTCACAAAATTTATTCGCAAGCTTTCACCATCAAACATTAGTTTAACGGAGCCAAGTCATTAGATCTGCCTAGGAAGTAGGTAGATAAGTCATACTTCTTCAAGAAAGAGTTCGTAAGCAAAACTCTTGATGTTCAGGTTCGCCTTTGAAATTTAGTGATATCTATTTTGGAAATGTTCCTGAGATTTGGTTCTTAGCGGAGTCGTAATCGACTGTCTTTCACTTCATGTAGTATTGAAATGAGTAATTCTGGGTTCTCGGGGATGTTATGTGAAGTTATTCCAGTCAGTTGCTATCATTATTTTAGGTAATGTTTACTCGCAGTTTGGCAAGACATTGAATTTATCAAGGTATTGGTTGGTGCATGAATGATTCATGGAAAGCATGTCTTGAAACCCGATTAGCTCATCGCTTCGGCAGAAGCGCGTTGAATGTAATGGATATGATGCGCTTCTTAGATAGAGCTTATTTTCGCAAACTAGGTATCTCTCGTTAATTTTTGAGTGATAACGTGAACAAAGCTATTTGTGTAAAGTGATGAACCGTTGAATGGATATATAACGGCTACAAATGTGTATGCATACATACTCTCGACAAGTTGTCACCCAGTATGAAACAAGTGTCTCCCGGTCGTAAGTGGTTAACGATGGATGTAATACCTGGCATGAATGTGTATGGGTCGAAGTTAGTGATTTGAAGACCTACTCATGGGGAATACGGTTCAAGAATGTGCAAAGTATTGTATGACACTAAACTCAAAATCTAGATGAGGAAGAAATGGACGTAACTACATGAGTCGGGCTAAATTTTGGTCCCGTCATTCAAAGTATCCAACCATAGTTTATTAATATTGCTCGAGTTCTAACTAGGAAGCCTCCACATAGCTTAGGTGAGCATTCAAAAATGTTCTGTGCTAATATCACGTGTTAGTTTGTCATCTCGTCTTTTTCCCAATATTGCCAGCCACTATTGAATATCAGGGTAGGCAGTGGCTAAAAATGCTTCGCATTTGTAATAACTACTTTTACTTATGAAGGTTTATCACCTCTTACCAACTTGTCATTTTCACTTTACTCCTCGCCTCCACACTGGTCAGTTGAAGTTTCACCATATACGCACTGTTTCAAAGGATTCTGTTAACACTCGGAGCTTACTCATGTATCCTGCTTCTACAGACCATATTTCGTGGCCACAGGAATATAGGCTGCTGTGCAGTGTACTCGTTCTTTGTTCGTTCGATAAAAGCAGGCATTCTTACGTCCCTGCCAAGATCCAATTAGCCATCAGACTTCCATTCTTGATGAGGCTGCTAAGTGAAGTAGTTAACACGCTCGACTACTTCACTTTGTACAATGAATCTAGGCTTGACGCTGATGAGTTCCAAGAGGGTGTTCTTCATTTATAAGCAGGGAATGCAGTGAGTTCAAATTAGATGAGCTTTATTTCGGCATAAAGTTTTTAGTACGCTGGCTCAGTCCAGTTATCAATGACTTCGTAGACCGGTGCGACGTCTTTTTTCGGACACCCCTAGCTTTCTCACGTCCTACGCCAGATAACATCGCTCGTCGAAGGTGGTGGGCGGGGATATGTAGTACATGTCCTAACCATCTCATTTGATAAAGAATTTGGGGAAACTGCATAAATCGATGACACGAAATTCTAACGTTTTAGTTCCTGAAGCTTATCATTTGGTCTTATCCAGGCTCTGGTGTGTACTTAAAAGTGAAGTTCCAGGAGATCGAAGAAGACATTTTGTTTTCTCTAGTCGTCTGAATTTTTTATGTATATTGGACAAGATAAAATGAAGGAAATGGTTTAGAATAGAATAGAAAAAGCATAGTCGTGGGTATAGTTTATCTGAATGCTGCTAGATGTATACGGTGATTATCACTTTCCAGTCACCGTTACTATAGGTTTTCTTTTTGAGGAAAATAGGATGGAATTTAAAGTTGAACTGACCTCCGAGCGTGATCACAAGATCCATTTGGACAATATCACTTACTGAAAAGATTTTATAATCTACTAAGTAGCACAAGTTGTAACTTTATTTGATGCATGAAATTCACATATGATAATGATCATTATTATCTTTTAGTTGTTTAAACTCACTGTGTTCTACCAGTTAAGATCTTTAATAAACGAAATGATCTGATATGATCATTAGTTATATTTGTCATAGAATGTTTGTAGATAGAAATTGTTGGTTAAAATGGTCAGTAAGGTTTCCGAACCCTAATTAACATACTTCTGTTTGAATCACTGATTAGTATATCACTAGCTCTTACATAAATGATTTAGTTCAAATAGATTATTTATATTCTCTAAATAAGTTAAAGTGTTAATTGCTTAGATCTGCGTTCGTAAGTAATATTTATCTGAAATAAACTATAGCTTTGGTCAATTTTAAATGTAGCTCGAAATTAAATCTGCGTATCAACAAACATTAATGTTGTATTTACATTTGTAGTTAATTTATTAAAATGATCAAAATGTAATTGTGAAAAAAATAGAGGTTGAAAAACAAACAAACAACCCACATTAAACTAACATCAAGATATTTCATTCTCTTGATTTAGATTGTTTTAAACAAAATGCCAGTATCAATTAATGATTTACACAACAAATTAAATTCATTTATTAGAATATCCCCAGTTGGATGTTTATTCAATGAAAATCAAATATGTTCATACACTATAATAATATTAATTCTTAATGATATTTTGACTTTCTTCGAGATTTTCTTTTGATCGAATGATAATCCTGGTGATGGTGTTTTTGTTGTTGTTCTTGATGGATTGATGGGAGCTCTCGTGTATTTGACAAATTTTTATGATCTTTGTTACTACTAATAAGGTTATTCATGTAGTTTAATCCAGAATCACTAGATTTACATCGTGTATTTATTGATCTATTTATTTGTAATAATGTTAAATCCCTGTTGTTAACATTATCATTATTATCTTCAGTATGATATCTAACTTTATAATTATTCAATCCACTAGTTGATTCATATCGATTTGATTTAATTTTTGTTATATTAAATTCATTATCTGATTCATTTGTATTAAATTTTATATCTTCATTACTTTGTTCATCATCTTGTTGAATAGTTTGTTGACAATAATTTGCTAGAAAACTTTTACGTCTAGCCTCATGACTATCAGTTTTAGTTTGTTTATGATTAATATCTTTTGTTTTATTAGATTTTTTATCTTTATAATATATACTTGATTGTAATGAATTTGTTATAGAAGATGGAATGCTCATTGATTGTGATCGTTCAACACCTTCATCATCATTATCATCATAATTATTATTATCATTATCACTTGTATTCTCATCACTACTATCAATAACTGGTCCTAATGAAGGTTTAAGTAATTGTGGATCAATAATATTTGTATCACTACCACGTGTACTTTTAAAAAGATAATCTTTACCTTTAAGTGTTTTCATTTTTGTTTTAATTAATGATTTATGATTAGTATATTCTTCATCTGATATTGATTGTATTTGTTTTATAGATGTTCTATTTTTATTAACACAATAATAATTATTATTATCTTTATAATGATTAGTTAAATTATAATCAGAATTATAATTATTTAATTGTTTTTGATTTTTATTATATCTAAGATCCCATTCATTTTGTATATTCCTCATATCAATTTGTGAACAACATGTTGTTACATGTATATGTGATTGATATGGATAATTGACATAATCATCTTCATTATTACAAAAGTAATTATTATTATTGTTATTATTGATTAATAAAGGTGAATGTGGTGGTGGTGGTGGTGTAATATTTTGTTGATTAAAAGGTATATAATAATTATTATTATTATATTGTTGTGGGACATTTGTACTGTTTCTATGCGAATAGAAATTATGTAAATTATTTAATTTATTTGATGATAAATATGTATCAGCTGATTTATGTCGATTATATTTTAAATTTTGATATGATAATGAATTTGTATGATTGAATTCAAATAAATTAGTTGGCATTAATTTATTATTATTATTATTATGATTTGAATGTACTTCATGTAGATCATCTGTAATATTCAATATTGAATTTTGTACATTTGATGATATATCTTCATCCATCATTGATGCACGTCGTGATGCTGGACTAAATATTAAATCTGGTGGTATAAGTTTTTCTAATGGTTTAGTTTTATAATTTTGTAATAAAGAAGAATTTAATATTGTATTATCAGTACAGTTATTATTATTATTATTAGGAATGAAATCATTATTAGGTAATTTATCATTATTTAATTTTGATTTTAATTCTTTTAATATGAATACAGAATTATTACTATTTGCTGAACCACGTCT